AATTATTGTTTCATGTTCTATATTACACAAAGTACATAACAGACTAGGGGTTAAGTTAATTTTAAACAGAAAGGTGTTTGTTGCCAAAATGTGATGCAAAATTCTGACTTGGAACCACTGTAATTTTGCACTTTTTGTTACTGTAAAAGGAATTATGAAATTTGTTGTCCATTTTTCATTATCAAAGTCAAATTCATGGTTCCATTTATTGATCCCTGTAGGTGTTGAAGTTGGAGCTATAATATAGTTATAAAAATCTTTAACTCCTTTTTTACTCTTAAAAAATATTTCAAAGAGAAGAGGTATAAAAGGTTGGAAAGGTCTTTCTATAGCTATCTGAGAGTCAAATTTCCTAACTAAACGCTTGACAGCTGAGACTAGCCCTTGGTACTGGAGAAAGTTTGTATGGATATGGAAATTAAACTGAAACTCCTCACGTGAATAGAAAGTCAAGCTGTCAGAACTTTTAACCAGGTCATTCACTGTAAATATTCCTGCCTCAAACCAATTTTGATAAAAAATAAAATTATTACCCACTGAATATCTTTGTTATACCATAGGGGAGTTTTTAACATTGATTCACTTCTACTGTAGGTTTGTCTCATACATTTGGAATTATTCAGTCTAACCCATCCTTTAAAAACATCCTTCCAAAATGGGCTAGAACAGGTATTTACACATGTCATAATGTATTCTTTTCCATAATTAATCATTCTTTTAGGATCAAAAATTAGATTCAAAAGCTGATTCCATTTTCCAGATGGCTGGAATTAACAGTCTTCTAATCCAACCTAGCTTAAGAGAATCTATAGAAGCATGTACATCAATTATCTTCAATCCCCCATTTATATAGATTTGAATCACAACTTCTTTTTTAATCCTATGACTTTTGCCATTCTATAGAAAATTGAATAACAAAGAATTCAACTTAGTAATACATTTTTCGGATGGGTTTGGCAAAGTGATAAACAGGTAATTAAGTTGGGAAATCAACAAAGACTTTATGATACTAATTCTACCTAATGGAGTCAAACTCTGTCTATTCCAATTATTAATAAGAGCGTTAAGTTTAACAATCTTTTTGTCAAAATTCATTCTTGGAATCTCACTTAAATCTACGGAAAAATCTATACCCAAAAAGTTGAACTTATCCTTCCCCCATTTTAGATGCAAGTCTGGAAGGAAAGTTTGGCCACAATATTTTCTACTGACTATCCATATAACCTATGTTTTTGTAGTATTGATCTTTAACCCAGAGATATTTGCAAAATTATTCAATTCATCGATAGATTCCTTAAGAGACCTCTCTGTACCATCTAGTATCAACCCAGAATCATCTGCATATTGTATATTTAAAATATCTATTTTCCAATTGGATGCCTTTAATATGGTCATTATTTCTAATTTTTGATTTCCATACCTGGAATGTTTCTTTCTTCTGCATAGTGCATCACATCATATAATGTTCGAATATTTTCCCCAATAAAGCGCCCTGATAAGAATCCTGTCTGGTCATTATTTATAAGTTCTCCTAATATAGTTTTTATCCTACGAGAAATTGCTCCAGAGGCTATTTTATAAGTGATATTCAAAAGTGAAATTGGTCTCCAATTTTTCAAAAAATGACGTGGTTTATCTCCCTTTGGGATATATGTTATTATACCTTGTCGTTGTGTGACTAACAGCTGGCAATCTGTAAAACCAAAATTAATTGAACGAACAACAAAATTAACTCAATATTTCCAAAAAGTCTTAAAAAATTCTGAAGTAAAACTGTCAGACCCAGGACTTTTATTATTTTTCATGTCTTTCAATGTTTTCCCTGCTTCCCCCAATGTTATTCTACCCTCTAAACTGGTAGACTCAACATCATTTAACTTTGGAATATTACAGTCACGAAGATGAACATCTATCCCTATGTCTATATAAGTCTGCATAAAATGATTGTACTTCTTCTAAAATATTTTTCTGCTTTGTTATAATTTTATTGTTCTCTTTCTGAATTTGTGGAATAACTTTGGAAGTAAAGTTTCTGTTTTCCAAATTAAAAAAATAATACGTAGGTTTCTCTCCCTCTTCTATCCATTTTGCTCATTAATTTTCAAAGTTATAACTGGGGCTGAATGATCTGATCTGAAATAAGGAAAAAATCTAATCTGGCCTGTTTTATTGGATTACTTCTCCGCCAAGTAAATCTCTTAGTATCCTGGTGATGCTCCCTGTATGTCAATAAGATTATAATTTTCAATAAGTTCTAAAACCTTGTTTCTAGCAGCAACATTGTTAATATTTCTGTATGAACGATCATAATCTAACTCTGGGTTCAATACTAAGTTAAAATCCCCACATATAATCATATTATCATTCCCAAAACTATCAATAGTATCTGAAACAATGTTATAAAAATCTGGGTTGTCTTGATTTGGGCCTTACAGAGTAATTAGTGTTGTTCTGGAACCCTCAATGGTAATATCAAGAGCAAGGAAATTTCCATTCAAGTCTTTCTTTTCTTTGTGCATTTTACTTTCAAAGTTAGAATTTAAAAGAATAGCGATACCACGTGAATTTGATTTAAAAGACCTAAAATAACTGTCATATCCCCACTCATTTCTTATGGTATTTTCCATAAGCCTCATTTTCAGTAATATGCACTGGAGGATTGGCATGGTCAGCCACATTTTCAGTAACATCAACTGGAGGATTGGCATGGTCAGCCACGTGCACATTTTCAGTAATGTCCAATGTAGGATGAGTTTTGTCAGCCTCATTTTCAGTAATATGCACTGGAGGATTTGGATGGCCATCCTCATTTTCAGTAATTTCCAATGTAGGATGAGTTTTGTCAGCCTCATTTTCAGTAACATCCACTGGAGGATTGGCTTGGTCAGCCTCATTTTCAGTTATTTCCAATGTAGGATGAGTTTTGTCAGCCTCATTTTCAGTAATATGCACTGGAGGATTTGCATGGCCATCCTCATTTTCAGTAATTTCCAATGTAGGATGAGTTTTGTCAGCCTCATTTTTAGTAACATCCACTGGAGGATTGGCTTGGTCAGCCTCATTTTCAGTAATTTCCAATGTAGGATGAGTTTTGGCAGCCTCATTTTCAGTATTGTCCACTCGATGATGGGTTATATTAACCTCATGTTCTGTAGTGCTGTCCTTTATTGGGTCTTTTTCACCATAAGTATTGTCTACCCGACTAGTAAAATTATTCTGAATAGCGTCAATGTCAAAGAATGAGGTGTCATCATCGCTGTGGGACATCTGCAATAAAATCCAAAAGTATTTATATTTCAAGTATATATGAATAAACTTTAAACAACATGTATATTTTCATCAAAATATATTAAATAAAAAACAGGTAATTTCATATATATAATATATATATGTGACATAAAAGCCATAATGGTATAACAGGGTCTGTAGGTTTGGACCATGCTGGTATGTATGATAAATAAGTACATGCTTGGTTATTTATTCAGTTACAGCATGATTTGGTTTATAAATTTCACTTTAGTTACAGTTACACAATATTCAGAATTAAGTTGTATTTATAAACATCTGCATGAAGTTTTCACAACGATATTACTATGCATTATTAATGGAAATACAACTGTACTTACATTGTCAGGGTTAACGTTGGAATTTGCAGGTGTGTCTTTCCCACGTTAGTCACAGTACCTTCTGACTAATTATTTTAAGAGTTGGAATTTCATTACTAGCCTAATGGCCAATATCATGGACTTCAGATTCTGAATCAAAAGCAATAAATATTCTCTACCTCTGGGGTTATATCTCCTAATTGGAGTGTAACATGACCCTTAAACAGCCGTGCCACAAGGGGCTATCTTCAAGATAGCACCTTGTTGCTGTATACAACACTGAGATAGCACCTTGTTGTCTGAAACAAAAGGACTTTTGCAAGATAGCCCAATTCATTAATATGCACATAACTACATGAATAATAATGATACTGTTTAAATATTTTTACAAAAGATGGAGAATGATATTTCATAAAATATTTTATCAAAATGTCATTTTCATCAAAAATTTGGCATAGCACCCTGTTGCTCTATTGGGGCGCATAGGCAAAGCCTAAATTGAAAAATAGTGTTGGTAGCCCAAAGGAAATTCCTCCGGTAATTTGGTACACAGAATTGCGACCATACTTGAACACTGAAAATTAGTTGGCTATTGTATTTGAAGAAAAAGTAATAATGAAGTTATCAATACATGTCTAACCTTATGTTTGATCTGTTAACTGTTGCCAGCGATTAGTATGATGTTAAAGCATGTGTATGACCTATAGTTTGGGTAGTCATTATGGTAGTAGATCAAAGTCAGAGTAAATAAGATCATAACAGGTTGTTCTGATATTCAAATGAATAAGGTCAGTAGGGGTTTTACTTAGATCTAAGTTGAAGTGATTCATTATGTACATGATTTAATATTTAGTTTGAATTATGAGAAAAAGGGCGAATGATTTTGTACTTTCAATATGTGTTTATTGATATACAAATATTAGGGTCTGATTTTTTGGGGGTAAATATTTTCAGCTGTGTCAAGTAAACTTAACACTGTATTCTTTAACCATCCATTTATCAACATTGTTAAATAAAACATCTGTTTTCTTGGTTCTGCTAGAGCATTATAAATTATGATTTGAATTTTTCAAATTTCCTTAAAATCCTTGTAAAAAGTACTGGTAAACAGAAAAACTGCCTGTCAGTCTGGAGTTGGGGCTAATGTATATAAGCACATTTCTTTAAAATCTGCTAAAAACGCGCATGAACAATATCATTATTATGTCATCAGATCTCAGTCATGAAGATGAAGAACGCTAACAATCTGTTAACTGAATAATCAGGAATTAAGATTTTCTGAGTGAAAACAAACAAATGTATACTTTAAGTTTTATTTGTACCAGTTTCAGTATTGTGTACAATTCAATTTAAACAAATAAACTTTATTTCTAATCTTTCTTTTTTTTTTGGCAGCTCACATTACCAAACCTAAAATCACATCTAAAAATATGTCCTCGGAGAGATACAACAATCCAACAGTTTAAGCCTATAGGCTGTACCTCACAAGCAATCCCAAGGTTTGTATATATAGAATCCGTACTTTGACTGATCATGACACAAACATCCAACAATTTATACCTCACAAATTTTCCCAAAGTTTGTAGATAGAATCTGTTCTTTGACTGATCATTACACAAACATCCAAAAATGTATACCTCACAAGCAATCCCAGGTTTGTATATAGAATCTGTACTCAGACTGACACAAACATCCAATAATCTATACCTCACAAGCAATCCCAGGTTTGTATATATAGAATCTGTACTCAGACTGACACAGACATCTAACAATTTATACCTCACAAGAGATACCATGTTTGAATATAGAATCTGTACTCAGACTGACACAAACATCCAACAATTTATACCTCACAAGCAATCCTGAGGTTTGTATATAGAATCTGTACTCAGACTGACACAAACATCCAACAATTTATACCACACAAGCAATCCCAGGTTTGTATATATAGAAGCTGTACTCAGTCTGACCCAAACATCCAACAATTTATACCTCACAAGAGATACCTGGTTTGTATATAGAATCTTTAATCAGACTTTATAAATGAAGAGTAATACCTGAGGCTCTGCCTTGGATATATTATAACTTATTCATGAACTGGAGAGTGGAATTTCCATTTCCCTATCTTTAAAATAGGATTGGCAGCATGAGTGGCTGTGTTTTTTCTACAGGTTTTATTTTGAATGGGCAGGCTTCTATACATTCATGTGGAATGAAATAAAACAAAACTTGGCCTCTCTCGCTCCTGTTACAAAAACGACATTAGTTTTTGGTTTACATTTTACTTTATGACTGAATCATATTACCAAAGTAACAAGCATTCTGTGGGTATTGATGAATCAATACATGTCCCCTACCAGACCCCCCAAATTTTAACCTGAAGATTTTGGCCAGGATAGTTGAGTCCAAATCATGTCAAATATAAAAAACAAGAATTATTTATTCACTTTCACAAAACAACATTAATGCTAGACCCCTAAAGAACCTCTGTCCATAAAATCACCATCCTAACAATATTATAAAGTGAAGGTGAGCCATTACAAAACGTTAACCCAAACTTTAACCTGCAGATGTTGGCCAGGATAGTTAAGTCCAAAACATGTCAAAAATTCCCCCAAAAAATAAAATTATTTTCCATTTTCAATCCACAGCATTAATGCTAGACCCCTATTTTAAGAACCTCTATGCTAAGAATCAGCATCCTAACATCATTATTAAGTGGTAAGCCATTACAAAACTTTAACCCAAACTTCAACCTGCAGATTTTGGCGATGGATATAGGGGACTATTAATGTAGCATGCATTAACAATAGTACAAGGCAACTTCAATGTCTCTTTTTTACTACACACTATATTATTATCTATACTTTTATTTGACTTTGGTATGAGTTTCATTATGCTGTTACATAAGTATTTCAATATTATATGACCTTGCCATGGTGCGTCTGTCTGTCTGTCTGTCTGGCGTCAACTTTTTACTTGAAACAACTTCTTCCAAAAGGCCTAGGATAATGATATTTAGCAAGTAGCATGCTGGAATGAATGACCTTCATCCATTTTCAAGGTCACATGGTTCAAATATGTTAAATGTTTTAACGACTTCTTCTGAATAACCAAGAAGCCTAGGCTGGTGATATTTGGCCAGTAACATGCTGGGATGAAGGGCTCCCAAATTTGTTCAAATGAATAACCTTGACTTATTCAAGGTCACAGGGGTCAAAATCTTTTGATAAACTTCTTCTACATAATCAAGAAGCCTCAGGGTGATGATATTTGGCCAGTAACAAGATGGCATGAAGGGCTACCAAGTTTGTTCAAATGAATGACCTTGAATCATATTCAAGGTCACAGAGGTCAAATATGTTGAAAACTGTAAACGACTTCTTTATAACCAAATGGACCATGACATTTGGCCAGTAACATGCTGGGATGAAAGATTAACAAGCTTTGTCAAACTAATGACCTTCACCCATTTGCAAGGTCACAGGGGTTATATAGATGAAATCTTTAAACAATTTCTGATTTGGCCAGAAGCATGCTAGTATGAAAGGCTATAAAATATTTTAAACTTAATGTCCTTGTTTGACTTTCAAGGTCACATGTGTCGCATGTTTAAATCTTTTAATAGATTCTTTTGAATTAAACACAGGTATTTTTCCTGTAGCTGTATTTTAGTCCACTTTAAAAAACAGATGTAAGATTAATAACAGGTGAGCGATTCAGGCCCACTGGGCCTCTTTTTGAAAACAGTAATAGATAACCACAGCCAAGGAAAGAAATTTTAAAAAACAAATAAAAGACACAATTGCTCAAATAAAGGCAAACAATCATGTGTTCATGTATTCTGCTTTTGATTATGTTTTTCAGTGATTTACCCAATAGGTTGACCTTCCAGTGTCCTTTGTGTGACCAACAAAATCTCACCTGTCAGGATCTTGTAACACATTGCAATGAACACCACAAGAAGGTCAAAGCCAGCATGGTAGGTTTGTGATGGTCAAGGTCAGTGTGGTACGTTAACACAGGTCAATGTCAATTTGGTAGTTTTACAAAGGTAAATGAGGTAGGTTTACAAAGGTTGAGGGCAGTGTGGTATGTTTAAAGAGGTCAAGGTCAACATATGACAGGTTATGGGAAGTCAAGGCCAGTGTTTATTAAATGTAAGTTAAGATCAGGGATAACAAAGCATTATTTAAGCCCATTGAGGGTTATGTTCTCTTGGTTTATAAAAAAAAATTGCCTAGTGTTGAATATTAATACAGTGGAAACCACTTATTATGATATCTTATTTGCCAGAAAAAAATAACATAACCAATATATCATAATAACCGATCAAGCAGTTTTCGATCATTTTTATGTTGTCTGACCCAGAAGTGAGATGTCCTATATAAATCAGACATTATAAGCTTGATTTGGAAACATGGAAAAAATATACATACAAACTGATAAAGTCATAATTGAAATAATTTGTTCATTGTAATTTTATACCAGCGTGTTGGAAAAAATCGAGAAGATTTCATTGTGCCGTTGAAATTATCAGTATGTAAATTCTACTTTCACTTTCAAATAACTTCGAGCATATTCCTAAGGTAGCAATGTACAGTAGCGTATGTAGGCCATGGGTGATATTTTTGTACAATGAATAACTCCTGTAATATTACATTTATCAAAAGTTAAAAAAAAAAATCAGCTCTAAAATTGGCATATACATGATGAATTGGAATTGAAAAATATCAAAAACTCGAATTTGGCTTGAGACTACATTTTTGGCCATTTACAAATATGTGTCTACACATCAAAAGCTAGCTTTTCATGTAGTCTGTTTTTGTACTCAGCACATGTGTAAATATTGTGAAAAATCTAGATTGATGACCTATGCTTAAACGTGAGTATCTGTGACCGAGAAGGTGATATTTAATTTAAAATGGGTTTTAAGAAAAAAAAATACTACGTGCGTGGGTCAAATTTTGGGTTAAAAATCATGTGGTTTTTTTTGCATTTTTTGGCGTTTTTTGATGTGGTAACCATGGTTTTCACATGTCCAAAATCTAGGGAAATCACATTTTGAAAAAATATTCATTCTTTTAAAAAAAATGTATTCAAAATGTAGTTTATAAATAAATATATATATGAAGGTGTATTGTGCAGGATGAATCCGCTATCCATGTTTATCCGAGACATGCCCTTTATTAGCTCACCTGGTCCAAAGGACCAAGATGAGCTTATGCCATACTGTGGCATCTGTTGTCCGTCCGTACGTCAACAATTTCTTTTAAACGAATTCTTCTTCCTAACTATTTGGAATATAACTAAATTTGATTGGAAGCATTCCTAGGTGGTGGGGATTCAATATTGTACAAATGGTTAGGCTGACCCCCCAGGGGGCTGAGGGGCAAGGCCCAAAGGGGGCAACTTGGCTATTGCTTTAATCGACTTGTTCTCATGAACCAAGCGATGGATGTTAACCATATTTGACTGGAAGCATCCCTAGGTGGTGGGGATTCAAAATTGTACATATGATTAGGCTGACCCCTCAGGGGGCTTAGGGCCAAGGCAAAAGGGGGCAACTTGGCTATTGCCTTAATCGACTTCTTCTCATGAACTAAGCGATGGATGTCAACCATATTTGACTGGAAGCATTCCTAGGTGGTGGGGATTCAAAATTGTACAAATGATTAGGCTGACCCCTCAGGGGGCTTAGGGACAAGGCAAAAGGGGGCAACTTGGCTATTGCTTTAATTGACTTCTTCTCATGAACCAAGCGATGGATATCAACCATAATTGACTGGAAGCATCCCTAGGTGGTGGGGATTCAAAATTGTACAAATGGTTAGGCTGACCCCCCAGGGTGCTGAGGGGTGGGGCCAAATAGGGGCAATTAAGCTATATTGCTACAAACGACTTCTCCTGTAGAACTATACACTGGATATCAATCATATATGATCAAAAACATTCATGGGAGGCAGGGATTTGAAATTGTACAAATGGTGGGGCTGACCCCCCAGGGGGCTGTGGGGAGAGGCCATACAAAAGGTTTATTTGGTTATATTGCTATAAACGACTTCTTCTGTAGAATTATGCACTGGATATCAATCATATTTGGTCGGATGCATTCATGGGAGGCAGTGATTCAAAATTTTACAAGTAGTGGGGCTGACCTCTAAGAGGGCTGAGAGGCGGGGCCAAAAAGTGTTTTTTTGCCATATTGCTTTAAGCAACTTCTCTGGACCGAAGAGACGGATATTAACCATATTTTATTGGAAGCATTCCTAGGTGGCGGCGATTCAAAATTGTACACATGGTGGGGCTGACCCCCAGAGGGCTGGGGCGTACCAAAAGTTGGCAATTTGGCTATATTGCTATAAACGACTTCTGTAGAACTGTGCAGTGGATATCAATCATATTTGGTTGGAAGCATTCATGGGAGGCAAGGATTCAAAATTGTACAAATGGTGGCCATGGGGATGACCCCCCCCCCCCCCAGGCTAAGGGGTGGGGCCAAAAAATGTTTATTACTTGGAAATGGTTGAGATCCCCACCGTATAACCTTATATACAATTGCTGAATGCACATACGCTTCCAGGATGGCCCTGGGTCTGCCCCACCCTTGGAGACCTAACCCCTGGGTCATAACTTCAAAACGGTAAGATCCCCACCCCTAAACTATATATGCAATTGTTGGGCATAAAGAGACGAAAGAAGTCATGATATTAGAATTGACCCCAGGGTCTGCCCCACCCTAAGAGACTAAACCCCTGGGTCATAACTTTGAGACGGTTGAGATCCCAACCCTAAAACTAGTCTAGTCACAACTCTAGGAACCTAGTTTCTGAGTCACAGCTTGGAAACAGTTGAGATCCCCACCCTATAACTATACATAAAATTGTTGAGTATAAAGAGATGAATGCACATACGCTTCCAGGATGGCCCAAGGGTCTGCCCCACCCTTGGAGACTAAACCCATGGGTCATAACTTTGAAACGGTTAAGATCCCCACCCCAAAACTATGGATACAATTGTTGGGCATAAAGAGACGAATGAAGTCATGATATTAGAATTGATCCTGGGTTCTGGTCACAACCCTATAGGGACCTAGTTTCTGAATCACAGATTGGAAACAGTTGAGATCCCCACCCCGTAACCATACAAAAAATTGCTGGGCATGAAAAATCTAATGCAGAATTGCTACAAGGATAGGTAGGCCTTGGGGTCTGGCCCATTCCCTTGGATCTCATTTGGAGATTATTTTGCCATGATTGCTTAGATGTCCAGGTGAGTGATACAGGCCCTGTGGGCCTCTTGTTTTTAGGGTCAAGCCATTTCTACTGTACTCTGCTACCTAAGAACTATCTTTATACTACATCCTACACTTGTAGCTAACGATATCGTAATGTTACAGTCAAAAGGATGAAAGAAGTGATATAAATAGTCATGATTTACCAATTTTGCAACGAGAAGTTTCGCTACATTTTGTCCCATAAGCATAAAACATTTTGCCACGCTATGTCACAATAACGTGACAATCACATGCCTCGCAAGTCGTGCGGTGAGATCACCTTGCAAAGAAACAATAACAATTAAAAACACAAAAAAAAATCCCTTTTTAACAATAATCAAATATTATATTCAACAAAAAATGGTGTAAATTGTAAATATAGCAGCCATCGTCAGTTGTTTACGACATTAATGATATTGATCGATTCTGTCAGGGTGGTATGTCCCGATATTGACACTTTTTCAACGAAGACTAGGGGAGATCAACGTCTAATGCAATAGAGAAGCTATTGCTTAAATTATATAAAACACAAGTCTTCCTTCTGAAGTAATATTTTCATTGTAATCAGCATGATTTTCTCACATGACGTGTCCAGGTAACCCTGAACATGCATGCTCGTTTTTATTATCGGAATTTGTGTTAGAAATGTCTGTAGGCCCAATTATTTCAATTTTAGATAGCAATTAACTGCACCATATGTTTTGTTAAGACTAAAATGTATGACCAGCAAGCGATGGTCGATCTTTTGTTTTTCGCGGACTCAGGTGAAGCGAGGTGTGAAATATTTACCTGGAGTGAACAGGTGATCACCTCGGGCGATGTACAGTTAGGGGGGCCGGACCTATTGTTCAATTGTCCAGGTGTTTCACACGAACAACTTACCCAAGTTTTCAGCTTACCTGCCCGAAGTCCGTCTGTCAACTTTTCCTTTAAAACACTACTGCGTCCTTAGGCCAAGGGGACTCAATTTTGTATAACTGGTGGGTGTTGCCCCCCTGGGGGCAGAGGGGTGGGGCCCAATAGGGAAAGAGAGGTAAAACCTTTAAATCCTTCTTCTATTATATCTTCAATTATTTTAAAGATATTCAGGTGAGCGATACAGGCCCTCGGGATCTCTTGTTACCTTATAAAATAGATTCACGGCAGAAAAAAATATTATAATAAGCAGGGTCCCGCCATTAACCAGATCATAATAAACAAATATTTTTTGCTTAGTTAAAGAAGGAAAAAATTGGTACATGGGAAAAAAAACTTAATAACCGACATACATGTATCATAATAACCATTATCATAATAAGTGGGTTCCACTGTACACAACATTAGGTTTTTAGCTCATCTGGCCCGAAGGGCCAAGTGAGCTTATGCCGTGGTGCGGCGTTCTTCCGTCCTGTGTCAATATTTTACTTGAAACAACTTCTACTTAGTAACCAAAAGACCTAGGATGATGATATTTAGCAAGTAGCATGCTAGGATGAAGGGCTACCAATTTTGGTCAAATGAATGTCCTTCATTCATTTTCAAGGTCACAGGGCTCAAATATGTTAAAATGTTTTAACAACTTCTTCTGAACAAGAGGCCCAGAGGGACTGTATCACTCACCTGAATATGTTTAAAATAATTGATATGAAGTAAAGATATACATGTAGCACTCCATAGTAGGTGCTGTATGTACATATGAATTTCAGAAAGATCCATCCAGTACTTGAGATATAGCAAGAACAAACTTCAAACAGAGCCCCACCCCTATGCCCCTAGGGGGGGTCATACCCGACAATTATACAAAATTGAGACCCCTCAGGGTGACTCCTATTTGGCCCCGCCCTTCTGCCCCCTGGGAGACCACACCCACTGCTTAAACAAAATTGAGTCCCCTTGGCCCAAGGATGCTCCAGACTTAATTAGGATTAAATCCCTTAATCCCTATGGTGAGAAGGATATTTAAGGTTTTACCTCTATTTCCCCTATTGGGCCCCGCCTCTCTGCCTCCAGGAAGGGGGTTAGACACACTGTTTATACAAAATTGGTTCCCCTTCACCCAAGGATGCTTCATACCAAATTTGGACTAACTCCTGTCATTCGAAACAGAAGAAGAACGTATTTGAAGAGTTTGCTATGTTTCCCCTGTTTGGCCCCACCTTCTGCCCCCAGGGGGGCCACACTTGCTGTTTGAGTCCCTTTTGCCCAAGGATGCTCCAGACTAAATTAGGATAAAATCCCTTAATCCCTGGTAGAAGAAGGATTATAAAGGTTTTACATCTATTTCCCCTATTGGGCCCCTCCCCAAAGGGCCCAGGGGGCCACACCCACCGTTAATACAAAATTGGTTCCCATTCCCCTTTCATTCCTTCAGAAGAAGAAGGATATTAAAGAATTTGCTATATTTCACCTATTGGGCCCCGCCCCTCTGACCCAAGGGGGGCCACACCCACTGTTAATACAAAATTGAGTCCCCTTTGCCTAAGGATGCTCCAGACCAAATTTAGTCAAAATCTACTTGGCTGTTCAGGACAAGTAGCGTTTAAAAGAAAAGTTGACGAACGGACGACGGATGGACAACGAACGCTTCGGTATGGCACAAGCTCACCATGGTCCGAAGCTAATAACCAAGAGGCCAAAGGTGATGCTATTTGGCCAGTAACATGCTGGGATAAAGGGCTACTAAGTCTGTTCAAATGAATGACGTTGACTCATATCCAATGTCACAGGAGTCGAATATGTTTCAAACCTTCAAAACAACTTCTTCTGAATAACCAAGAAGCCTAGGGTGATAATATTTGGCCAGTTAAACATGCTGGGATGAAGAGTTACCAAGTTTGTTTAAATGAATGACCTTGACTTATATTCAAGGTAACAGGGGTCCAAATCTTTTAAAGACTTCTTCTTAATAACCAAAATGCCCAAGGCGATATGTGGCCAGTAGCATGCCAGGGTGAAGGGTTACCAAGTTTTTCAAATGACTTCTTCTGAATAATCGTAAGGCATAAAGTTATAATATTTGCCTGGTGGCTTCCTGGGATAGAGCTCACCAAAGTTTGCAAATCCTACTTTAAAGGTCACAGAGGTCAACAATATTTCAAAGGATTTGTTCTGATGAACCAAAAGGAATGGATTCATAAGATTTGGCTTGTAGCATTTTGGGAAAGAGCTAATAAAGTTTGAGAAGGAAAATGACATTGACCTACTTACAAGGTCACAGGGAAAAATATGTCAAACAACTTCTGAAGAAGAACCAAAAAGCATAGAATCTTATAACAATATTTGGCTGGTAGTTTCAACAGATGGAGCTGACAAAGTTTATGAGGGAAATATTTGTAGTGCAATATAATATTTAATGATAATATTTTGCTATATCTGCTTGAATATTCAGGTGAGCGATACAGGCCCTCTGGGCCTCTTGTTAAAGTTTTTATCTTTTGGTGACATGACAAGTTTTGTATTTCACATGTTGTTTTCAACATTTTGTACATCTCAACAATAAAATTGAGCTACTAGTACATATATTGTAACTCAGGTGACAGCTAAGGCCCTTGGGCCTCTTGTTAGTTTACCTGGTCCGAAAGGCCAAGTGAGCTTATGTCCGTGCGTCGTCTGTCCAGCGTCTACACTTTTTACTTTTAAACAACTTCTGAATAACCAAGAGGCTCAGGGTGATGAAATTTGGCCAGTTGTATGACGGGAAGAAGGGCTACAAAGTTTGTTCAAATGAATGACATTTGATCGTTTTCAGGGTCACAGGGGTCACATATGTTAAAATCTTTTAACAACTTCTTCTGAATAACCAGAAGGCCCTGGGTGATGATATTTGGCTAGGGGCATACGGTGATGAAGGGCTTCCAAGTTTGTTCAATTAAATGACCTTGACTTGTCTATACAAACCCTTTGAAATTTGTTCAAATGAATGACCTTGACATATATTTAAGGTCACAGGGGGTCAAATATGTTTAAAATCATTCAATGACTTCATTTGAACAACCAGAAGGCCAAGTATAATGATATTTGGCCTGTAGCATGCTTGTGAGTTGCTATCAAGCTTATTCATTTGAATGACCTTGACCCACTTTCAAGGTCACATTTGGTCAAATATGCATTAATCTTTAAATGACCTCAAGTCAATAAAGAAAAGGTCAAGGGAAGTGACATTTGGCAAGTTGCATCCTGAGATGAAGGGCTGTAAAGTTTGCTCATTGTAATGACCTTGTTTGACTTTCAAGGTTACAGGGGTCAAAGGTTTTAACATCTTTTCACAGATGAAGCCTAACAAATTTTGCGAAAAGAAATAACCTTGACCCAGTTTCAATGTCACAAGGATCAAATTTGTTAAACCTTTAAACAACCTCTTCTGATTAACCAAAAGACCGAGAAGCATCATATTTGGCCAATAAGATTTTAGCTAACATGGCCCGAAGGCGTCCGGCGTCCTGCATCCGGCGTCTTTCTGTCAACTTTTTCTTTTGAACAACTTCTTCTGAAGAACAACCTTCTTCTCAAGTTCCATAAGGCCCAGGGTCATGCTATTTGACAAGTAGGTACCTGGGATGGAGTGCTATTCAGTTTCCCCATTAAAATTACCTTGACCTACTTTCAAGGTCACAGGGGTCAAATTTGTTAAAAACTTCAAACAACTTCTTCTGAATAACCAAGAGACCCAGGCTGATAATATTTGGCCAGTAGCATGCTGGGATGAAGAGCTACCAAGTTTGTTCAAATGAATTACCTTTGACCATATTCAAGGTCACAGAGGAGGGAGGGGGTTGTCAAATATGTTTAAATGTTTGAACAACTTCTTCCAATTAACCAAGAGGCGTAGGGTGTTGATATTTGGCCAATAACATGCTGGGATGAAGCACTATCAAATTTACCCAAAAGAATGACGTTTGCCCATTTTCAAGGCCACAGGGGTCAAATATGTTTAAACTATTAAACAACTTCCTCTTAATGACCAAGAGGCCCAGGCTGATCATATTTGGCCAGTAGCATGCTGGGATTAAGGGCTACAAAGTCTGTTTAAATGAATGACCTTCAATCATATTCAAAGTCACAGGGGTCAAATATATTAAAATATTTAAACGACTTCTTCTGAATAACCAAAATGCCTAGGGTGATATTTGGCCAGTAGCATGCTGGGATGAAGGGCTACTAAGTTTGTTCAAATCAATTACCTTCGCCCATATTCAAGGTCACAGGGGTTATTTGTCTTAAAAACACTTCTGAATAACTTAAGGTTCCAGGGTGATCGGTTGTTAGCTCACCTGGCCGAAGGGTACTGATATTGGGTCTGTAGCATGCTGGGAAGTTTGTTCAAATACATGACCTTGATCCACTTTCAACCTAATGTCCTTGTTCAATATTCAAGGTCACATGCGTCATGTTTAACTCTTTTAATAGGTTCTTATGAATCAAACACTGATATTCTGCCTGTAGCTGTATTTTAGTCCACTTTTAAGATTACAATTGTGATATTAATACCAGTGCTCGATTCAGGCCCATTTGACCTCTTGTTTAATTTCAAGCTTTGACTGAAGATTTTGTAATTTCATACTTTCTTTGAATGTTTTGTTTTTGTCATTTACGCAGGTATGTCCAGTATGTAAGGCGATGCCGTGGGGAGACCCTAACCTACAGAGCTCTGATTTTTTACAGCATCTAAATATCCGGCACAAATTTGAGTATGACACATTTGTGGTAAGTCTGACCCTTCAGAATCTAAATGTAACACAAGTTTGAATATGGCACTTTCATGATAAGTTTGTGTGCAGTATATTCCTCTTTGCAGGTACATATTTAAATGAAAAAAAATATTATGAAAGTTGTTGTTTCGAAACTTTGGAATATACAGGGTACACCTATTCACCACCACCTCTTTGTATTGTTGGGGGTATACAGTGTATGCCCCTTCAACCTCATCCCTTTGAATTGTTGGGGGTATACAGAGTATGCCCCTTCAACCTCATCCCTTTGTATTGTTGGGGGTATACAGAGTATGCCCCTTCAACCTCATCCCTTTGTATTGTTGGGGGTATACAGAGTATGCCCCTTCAACCTCATCCCTTTGTATTGTTGGGGGTATACAGAGTATGCCCCTTCAACCTCATCCCTTTGTATTGTTGGGGGGGGGGGTACAGGGTATGCCCCTTCAACCTCATCCCTTTATATAAACGGTGGGTGTGGCCACCCTGGCAGCAGAGGGGCGCGGCTGAATGGGGAAATAGAGGTTAAACCTTTAAAATCATTCTCCTACCACAGGGATTAAGGGATTTTATAAGCTCACCTGGTACAAAGAGGGGCGGGGCCCAATAGGGGAAACATAGCAAATTCTAAAAAAATCTTTCTTCTTATGTATAAATGAAAGGATTTGTTCCATTTTGGTCTTAAGCATCCTTGGGTGAAGGGTACCAATTTTGTATAAATCGGGTGTCTGGCCCTCTAGGGGCCTGAGGGGCGTAGCCATATAGGGTAAATATTGCAAATTCTTTAAAATCCTTCTTCTTCTGTAGGAATGAAAGGCTTTGGTCTGAAGTATTCTTGGGTGAAGCAGAATCAATTTTGTTTAAAAGGTGGGTCTTGCACCCCAGGGGCCCAAGGGGCGTGGCCAAATAGGGGGAATGCAGCAACTTCTGTAAAATCCTTCTTCTTCTGTAGGAATGAAAGGAGCTGTTCCATGTTTGGTGTGGAGCATCATTGGGTGAAGGGGAACCAATTTTGTATAAACGGTGTGTCTGTCCCCACCCTAAAACCATACAGTCGAACCTCGTTATCTCGAAGTCGACGGGATCGTTGTGAAACTTCGAGTTATCCGAGTATTCGAGTTAAGCGAGTTCCTATGTTTGGCATAAAGCTTGGTCAAGTGTTTGGTCCAATATAAGGCTATATATGTCATTGATTTCTCTGACAATCAACGTATTTAAACAGTCGATAAATGACAAAAAGATAACAATAAAATAAAAAATAACAACTTATTCATAATCATATTCATTAATTAATTAATGTTACAATAAACACACATGCTGTCTCCGACCTCGTGCTATGCTGTGCACCCTCATCCCTTTGTGTTATAAGGGGTATAAAGGGTACGCCCAGTCACCCTCATCCCTTTGTTTTATAAGGGATGTATAGGGTACGCCCAGTCACCCTCATCCCTTTGTTTTATAAGGGATGTATAGGGTACGCCCAGTCACCCTCATCCCTTTGTATTATAAGGGATGTATAGGGTACGCCCAGTCACCCTCATCCCTTTGTATTATAAGGGGTATACAGGGTACGCCCAGTCACCCTCATCCCTTTGTATTATAAGGGGTATACTGGGTACGCCCAGTCACCCTCATCCCTTTGTATTATAAGGGATATACAGGGTACGCCCAGTCACCCTCATCCCTTTGTATTATAAGGGGTATACAGGGTACACCCAGTCACCCTCATCCCTTTGTATTATAAGGGGTATACAGGGTACACCCAGTCACCCTCATCCCTTTGTATTATTAGGGGTATACAGGGTATACAGGGTATGCCACTTCAACCCCATCTCCTGGTACTGTTTACCTGAATACAAGAGAATGTTCTTGAACTTTGTATGCTAAATCAGTTCTCCACTATCGGTAGTTTGTACCACCGTTTGATTTTGACAATAACTAGCCATCTCCTTTGTTTTGATGTCACATTTGTAATGACACATAAGTGTCATCCCCGATATATGATTTCATAACATGCAGCTGACTTTGGTAGGTTTCAATGATAATGAAAAGTAAATGTAAATACATATGATTAGAGTTTGTATGAATTTGCAAGAACAATATGTATAGGAAGATGGCCATTTTATAAAAATAATTGGTCTTTCAAAATTCTAGTTCAGACTTTTTTGTATTTTTTTTTTTTGCAGGATTATGAGCAAGATGATGAAGAAATGCTGCGGCAAGCTATCGAGGCTTCGATGAAGCAGTACTAGAATATTATAGATAATAGTATTTTGGTAGAAAATTCACTGTCTGTGATACACTGTAAATCTCTTACTGTATATTAAGTGATTTACTTTGGTGATAATTTGCTTTAACAGCTTTTGTCTTACCAGGTGTCTAAAAAGTTTCAACTTCATTTGGTTTTCAAGAGTTTGAAAATATGAACTAGCTTTGCAAGTATCCACCTCACATTTTCATCCTAGCAATACCCCAGTAGATCTAAGTTCATGTAATAAAATATATCATCATATAATTTTTGTGTCAAATGAATCAATATGAAGGCATATATAGCAGGGCAGATGGTGTAGAAGGTCATCTTTTTCGCCAAAACATAATTTTAATGGAATCTTGGAAACCTACCCTCAAGGATGACATTAAAAAATCTTAATGAAAACAAGTTACTTCATTGAAATAATAGACTGCTTTGGGTAGGTAGATTTCTCAAGGCTTACACAAATGGAGAACAAAACCCAACACAATTCAGCATGTAGTGTCTTTTTCCGAAGGACCATGGTGAGCTTATGCCATACTGCAGCGTCCGGCGTCCGGCAACTTTACACTACTAGTCATGAACCACTGAGCGGATTTTAACAATATTTGGTGTGGAGCATCCTTGGGTGAAGGGGAACAAAATTTGTATAAACGGTGGGTCTGGCCCCCCAGGGGCCTGAGAGGTAGGGCACAATAAGGGAAACATAGCAAATTATTCATTAAAATCCTTCTTCTTTTGTAGGAATGAAAGGATTTGTTCCATATTTGGTCTGAAGCATCCTTAGGTGAAGGAAATCCAAGTTTGAATAAACCATGGGTCTGGCTTCCCAGGGGCCTGCTAGGCAGAGCCCAATAGGGGAAACATAGGAAATGATTCTTTAGAATCCTTCTTCTGTAGGAATGAAAGGATTTGGTCGATATTTGGTGTAGAACATCCTTGGGTAAAGGGAAAATAATTTTGGATAAACGGTGGGTGTGGCCCCCCCATGGACCTGAGTGGTGGGCCCTAATAGGGGTATTAGAGGTAAAACCTTTATAATCCTTCTTCTACCATAGGGATTAAGGGATTTTATCTTAATTCAGTTTGGAGCATCCTTTGGCAAAAAGGACTCAATTTCATATAAACAGCTAGTGTGGCCCCCCTGGGGGCAGAAGGGAGGGACCCAATAGGGGAAAAAGAGGTAAATCTTCAAAATCCTTCTTCCTCTGTAGGAATGACAGGATTTTGTCCAAATTTGGGACGAAGCATCCTTGGGTGAAGGGGACTCAATTTTGTATAAGCAGTGGGTGTGGTCTCCCAGGGGGCAGAAGGACGGGCCCAATAGGAGAAATAGAGGTAAAACCTTTAAAATCCTTCTTCGACCATCTGGATTAAGGGATTTTATCCTTATTTAATCTGGAGCATCCTTAGGCCAAGAGGGCTCAATTTTGTATAATTGATGGATATGACCCCCCTAGGGGCATAGGGGTGAGGCTCTGTTTGAATTTTGTTCTCGCTATATCTCAAATATTGGATGGATCTTTCTGAAATTTCATATGTACTTACAGCACCTACCATGGAGTGCTATAACTTGACTCCATACCAATTATTTTAAACATATTCAGTTTAAAAGTAGGACAATTTTTTTAGTGACATATCATTTTTAGCTCACCGGGTCCAAAGGACCAAGGAGAGCATATGCCATACCGTGGCGTCGGTAGTCTGTCCGTCATACTTTGTCCGTACATCAAACATTTATTTAAACGACTTTTCCTTCTTAACCACTGATTGGAATTTTACGAAATTTGACTGGAAGCATCCCTAGGTGGTGGGGATTCAAAATTGTACAAATGGTTTGGCTGACCTCCCAGGGAGCTGAGGGACGGGGCCAAAAGGGGGCAATTCGGCTATAATGCTCTAAGCAACTTCTTCTCTGAAACTAAGAGATGGATATCAGCCATATTTATCTGGAAGCATTCCTAGGTAGTGGAGATTCAAAATTGTACAAATGGTGGGGCCGACCCCCCAGGGGGCTGAGGGGCGAGGCCAAAAGGGAGCAATTTGGCTATTTTGCTACAAACGACTTCTGTAGAAATATGCACTTGATATCGATCATATTTGGTGGAAAGCATTCTTGCGAGGTAGGGATTCAAAATTGTACCATGATTGCTTAGGTATCCAGGTGAGCGATACAGGCCTGAGGGCCTCTTGCTATATCATGGGAACATTTCATGGGATTATGATTATCTCAATTAATTCATCTTTATTTGTTCAGTGTTTAAAAGCAAAAATGATCAATTTATCTGCATGAAATAAATTTGACATCATTTAGTACTTGTGCAACAATTTAATTAAATGTATTCCATGGATACATTTTGAAATTTAAAGTGGACAACTTTATCAACTTATAGCTCAATAAGTAGCTCAAATGGCATGATGTACAATGTACCTGTGAGCTAATGATATTGCGCAGAGACCCTGGTCCCTTTGTCTTTGAACTTTTTTCTTTGATCGTCCTCTTGAAAATTTAATGCTCTAGTCTTAGTATTTTGGGGGTCACCAAGTTGACTGGTGTAACAAAATTGAGGTACCTGGGGCAGATTGCTATATAGTTTCCTCAAATAAATGACCTTGACCTACTTTTAAGATTACAATGGTCAAATGTTTATAAAACCTTTAAAAATCTTATTCGTAATGACCAGGAGGCCTAGAGTACTGATACTTGGCCACTAGGTACCTGGGACAGAGTGATAAAAAGGTATAGCTCACGTGAATAATAAAGCAACAATGGACAAATATTTTTATTACAGATAATACTGCAACCATTTCCAAATATTGGCTTTTTCTCTCAGCAACTCCCATCCCTCATAAGGTTCCTTCTTTTTGCTCCCATGCCATGGGGAGGATTTTAAACATTAACACCAACTTCCCCTATTTGGCCTCGCCTCTCTACCCACATAAAACAACCCTTCATTAAGACAAAATTTAGTCGTCCCCCCTCAACTTTTCCTTTGAAACGCTACTAGTCCTGAATGGCCAAGTAGATTTTGACTAAATTTGGTCGGGAGTATCCTTAGGCCAAGGGGACTCAATTTTGTATAAGCGGTGGGTGTGGCCCCCCTGGGGCAGAGAGGCGGGGCCCGATATGGGAAATAGAGGTAAAACCTTTAAAATCCTTCTTCTACCGTAGGGATTAAGGGATTTCATCCTAATTTAGTCTGAAGCATCCTTGGGCCAAGGGGACTCAATTTTGTATAAAAGGTTGGTCTGGCTCCCCTGGGGACGGTGAGGGGCGGGGCCAAATAGGGTTGATATAGCAAATTCTTATTCGGTAGAAATGAAGGATTTGGTCCATATTTGGTCTGAAGCATTCTTGGGTGAAGGGAAACTAATTTTGTATAAATGGTGGGTCTGGGCCCCCAGGGGCCTGAGGGGCGGGGCCCATTATGGGAAACATAACAAATTCTTCAAAATCCTTCTTCTGTAGGAATGAAAGGATTTGTTCCATATTTGGTGTAGAGCATCCTTGGGTAAAGGGGAACCAATTTTGTATAATCTGTGGGACCCCCATGGGACCTGAGGGGCGGGGCCCAATAGGGGAAATAGAAAATAAACCTCTATAATCCTTCTTCTACCATATGGATTAAGGGATTTTATCCTAATTTAGTCTTGAGCACCCTTGGGCTAAAGGGACTCAATTTTGTATAAACAGCGAGTGTGGCCCCCATTGGGGGCAGAAGGGAGGGGCCCAATAGGGGAAACATAGCAAATTCTTCAAATACCTTCTTCTTCTGTACAAATGACAGGATTTTATCCAAATTTGGTATGAAGCATCCTCGGGTGAAGGGGAACCAATTTTGTATAAACAGTGTGTCTTACCACCACCCCACACACACCCAACCCCCCACCCCCTGAAGGCAGAGAGGCGGGCCCCAATAGGGGAAATAGAGGTAAAACCTTTAAAATCCTTCTTCTACCATAGGGATTAAGGGATTTTATCCTTATGTAGTCTGGAGCATCCTTGGGCCAAGGGGACTTAATTTTGTATAAGCAGTGGGTGTGGTCTCCCAGGGGCAGAAGGGCGGGGCCCAATAGGAGAAATAGAGGCAAAACCTTTAAAATCCTTCTTCGACCGGATTAAGGGATTTTATCCTTATTTAGTCTGGAGCATCTTTGGGCCAAGGGGTTTCAATTTTGTATAATTGGTGGTTATATCTCAAGTACTGGATGGATCTTTGTGAAATTTTATGTGTACTTACAGCACCTACCATGGAGTGCTATATCATTACCTCATACCAATTATTTTAAACATATTCAGGTGAGCCATACAGGCCCTCTGGGCCTCTTGTTAAGATTTCCCTACATAAAATTGGGTCCCCCTTGCCCACACAGATGCTCTGGACCAAATTTGGATAAAATCCCTCCAATGATATAGAAGAAGGATTTTAAAGATTAAAACCTCAAATTACCATATTGTACCCTTCTTCTATGCATACAGAGGGGACACACCCTCCATGTATACCAAATTGAGTCCCATTTGCCAAAGGATTCTCGAGGCCAAATTTGGATAAAATCCCTCCAGTGGTACAGAAGAAGAAAGATTTTAAAGATTTTAACTTATAAATTCCCTATTGGGCCCCACCTCTCTGTACCCAGAGGGACCACATCCTCCATTTATACAAAATTGAGTCATCTCTGCACAAGGATGCTCCAGGCCAAATTTAGATGAAATCCATACAGGTGTTCAGGACAAGTAGTGTTTTAAAGAAAAGGTAGGCTCACCAAGGTCCTTCTGACCAGGTGAGCTAAAAACCTTTAAACATGTTCTTTTGAATAACCAAGTGGCATAGAGCAATGATGTTTAGCTAGTAGGAACCTGGGACAGAATGTTATAAAGTTTCCTCAAATAACTTACCTTGACCTACTTTCGAGGTCACAGGGGTCAAATATGTAAAAACATTCACAAACAACTTCTTCTGAATAACCAGGAGGCCCAGAGTAATGATACTTGGCAAGTATGTACCTGGGGCAGAGTACTATAAAGTTCCCCAAATTATTTACCTTCACCTCCCCAAATTAATTACCTTGACCTACTTTCAGTCACAAGGATCAAATATGTAAATATCTTTTAAGAACTTCTTCTGCAATACCAGGAGGCCCTGGGTGATATTTGACCAGTAGTGTGCTAGGGTAGAGTGGTATCAAGTTTCATTCAGTATGGAACATTCTTAAGCCGATGAGACTCGATATATAGAAATATTTGCAAAAGTATTTTTATTGAGACTATTTTCCCATAATTATTCAAATATCCAGGCGAGCAAGAGGGCCTCTTGTAGTTTAGGAAAAGTCTACCGGAGGGGATTACATGTTTGCAATCTGTGTTTCACTTTATCTAGGTCTTATCCCTATCATCTACATTTGTCAGAATTTTGTATGAAAACGCCTCTTGAGATGAGCGTCACATACTACATAAAATTGAGTTTCATGTTCCAGTATTTACAGAGTTATGACCCATTGTTTACTAGAATCACATACTAACTATTGTATGGGAATACATCTGAAGATTGTGAAGTGTGGCACACTAAATTAGGGTCTCTAACCCATTA